TTTTTTTTTTTTTTTGGCGCCAGAGAAAAATTATGAATTGTGCGAACTAACTGGTTTGGTAAACGAATGAAAGGGTTACGGGATGACAGAAACGAGCGGTGCACTATCTAGACCAGTTGGTGATGATGAATATGCTCGATTGAGTTCAGTTGGAAAGTTGATTGGGACTATTGAAGCCAAAATCGTTGATCTGGATACAGGTGTTGGCCTGCCTCAAGGCAAGCTGGGGGAATTATGGATAAGAGGACCGACCGTAATGAAAGGTAAATTAACCGCTTTATCTTGTAATAAGGAGTGCTTTTTTTTTTTTTGGTTTTTTTCCGGGTCTTATAGTAGCCATTAAAATACTTCAAGATGGGAAACTTCACTGTGAAGTTGTAAAATGTGCAGTATGATAAGTTTGTTCAATGATTATTTTTGATTTTTGTCAAAGAAAGCAAAATTCTTGAGCTTCGTGACGACAATTTTTTGTAGGATATGTGGACAATCACAAGGCGAATTCCGAAACCTTGGTGGGAGATGGGTGGTTGAGAACTGGTGACATTTGCTATATCGATGATGAGGGCTTCCTTTTTGTGATCGATAGAGTGAAGGAGTTAATCAAATACAAAGGATATCAGGTTTAATCAAACCTCCTTTTTTCTCTCTTTAGTTTCTAATTTTCAACTGTAAATCTTTGGATGTAAAAACCTGACTTTAAGGAACCTTTCTTATTTATCAAAATTAAAAACAACCCTTCAAATTGTCATGAAAAACCTTAATCCTTACGTAAATCAGAAGCTGATTTATATGATCTTCGGAAGATAACAGGGTCATTTTCTAATCATAAACGGTGGCAATTAACTGTTCGAATATGGCTTTGTTACTTTTAACAGGTTTCTCCTGCTGAGCTGGAAGAACTGCTCCTCTCTCATCCTGATATCATGGATGCTGCTGTTATACCGTAAGCTATTTTGGGATTCAAAGTTTTTAGCCCTTTAAATAAATTCGTCTCGACAAGCATATTTTCATGATTGAAACACGCACAGATACCCTGATGAAGATGCTGGTCAAGTGCCCTTAGCCTTTGTAGTTTGTCGCCCCAAAAGCAACCTTGATGAGCAACAAATCATCGACTTTATTGGAAAACAGGTGAGTAGTTTTCTCCCTTATTGTCTAATGTCGTTGCAATCCTCCATACAAGATTGTCACTGTGTGATGTCTGATGTTCTATACTTGTACAGGTTTCCCCGTACAAGAAAGTAAGACGAGTAGCATTTATTAGCTCTATACCCAAAAGTGCATCCGGGAAGATATTGAGAAAAGAATTACTGAAAAATTCATTGCCTCGGTCTAAGATTTAACGTTGCGAGATTTTACTTTAGACAGACCAACTTTATCCGCGACCTCCTATTGGATCGTCTTGAAGAGATAAAAGAAAAAAAAAATTAAAAAATGGTTTGTTTTTTTCCTCGCGACCTAGGTAACATTCTGACCTTTGATCGCAACGGTTGAGAGAGGAATGGGACACTGTCCCATTCCTATTGGTCAACATGATTTTTAAGATGTCACAAAAGATAGCTTAAATTATTGGTGTTAATTTATATTTTAAAAAATAAAAAATACAAAAAATCGTACTTTTTTATTTTTTATAAATAATAAATACTTAACAGGTTTTGGAACACAATTGTAATTTCTCTTTTTTCACTCTTTCTATGATTCTACCTTATTAACTTTATCATCTCTTTCATTTTTTTTTTTTTAATTCCAACAAATATTATATGGATCCAAATTTTGAATATTACATCGGTTCTCACTTCTCAAAATTTTCGAATTCTAAAAATTTTTAGAACTTTGAATTTTTTTCGAATTCTACAAAATTTTTAGAAACTTCGAAAATTTTTTGAATTCTAAAAAATTTGTTGAACTTCGAAAATTATTCACATGAGTCATTTCCTCCTAATTTTACTCATTTTCTACTTCTGGCGATGCCTAAACTCACAGAACATCTCACGAAATTTATTGCAAAATATGCAACAGACACGCACAAATTCTCAAAAAGGAACGAAATTGTTTGTTGGAGTGTGGCGGGCATAAGATCTTGGTCTAATGTCAGCTTGGTGTTTCGTTAGCGAAGACAAATGTCTGGCACGAATCAGAAGGATTCTTTGCTATAGGCATGCATAGCAGAAATGTTTGAACAACCTCGATTGGAAAATCCAAAAGAAAGTGGTGAAACAAACTTGGATTCAATGAAAGATTGATATGAACGCCTTAATGAATATATAAACAAATGGAGTTGCTTATATGGAAGCATACAAAAATAAAAAGAGTAGAATGAGCACGAAAGATTTTGAGAAAGACAACTCATATAATTTATGAAGTCGGTGGCAGGAACACCAAGTTTATAGACTTGCATGTATTTGAAGAAGTTATGCGTATCCCATATGGAACTAAAACTAGATCGTTATTCAACTCGTTCACGTCCTAAAGATCAAGTGAGTAATGAGAAAGTTGTGGTAGTTCAAAAAGATTAAGCACTACTGAAGATGGAGATTGTTTAGTTCCCTCAAATTTAGAAACTCCAATTGGTGATGGCTCTGCAATTCTTCGTCCCAAATGTATAGACTCCAATTGTTCGTCCCAAAGAATGGCTCTGCAATTCTTCGTCCCAAAAGATTAAGCACTACTGAAGATGGAGATTGTTTAGTTCCCTCAAATTTAGAAACTCCAATTGGTGATGGCTCTGCAATTCTTCGTCCCAAATGTATAGACATGCCTAAAAATAAAGGAAAAAAACATAGCATCACAACTTTCTTCCATTCCTGATGAGTTCACTGCAGAAATTTGTGCACTAAAACTTACAAGAAATAACAAATATGATCTAATGACCAAAATAGCGAACAATTGGATGGAGTTGGAACGCAAAAATGAAGAACGATAGACTAACAAAATGAATATTATGATGTTGAATACAATGTTGGCAAAGAACCACTTTACGCTAGAAGATGAAGAGTTGAAACGTCGTTTAACAATAATTGTATTTAGAAATTTACTGTAAGTTTTCATCATGTAATTTTAGTTTATGTCATTTAGTTATTCCTGTGCAAGTTTTTCTATTTCTGCAATTCGAGTTAATCTATAAAAAAGTCTAATTAATATTCTTTTATATAATCTTTTTCAGAAGTCACATGATACTTTCATATATGTCATACCTACTAATATAATAGTCCATCAAAATGAACGACCAAGACTTGTTTGTAATATAGTGCATGAATTATCACTATCAAGTAATAACTTTATTTTTTCTTCTAAAATTCACATGTATTGTTTCAGAAATATCTTCAAAATGTCTTTATATTAAGTCTAGAGAAATTCATTTGCTATACTTTTATTTTCATTTTATTTTACTTTTACCTTTACTTTACTTTACTTTTACTTTTACTTTTAATTTTTTTTTTACTTTTTATTTAAATCCGAATGTCTTTATAATAAGTCTAGAGAAATTCATTTACATTTGGATCATCTTGAATGGATAAAAGAAAAAAAAAATGGTTTCTTTTTTCTCGTGAACTTGGTCGCATTGTGACTTTGGATCGCAACCGGTGGAGAGGAGAGGAATGAGGCACTTCCCATTCCTATTGGTCAACATTATTTTTATGATACCTTTAAAGATAACTTAAATTGGTGTTCATTTATATTTATAAAAAAAATACAAAAATTCGTACTTTTTAATTTTCTATTTATATTGAAAATATTTGAGAGATTTTGGAACACAATTATAATTTCTCATTTTTCACTCTTTTCCCAATCCTACCTTATTAATTTTATCATCTATTTCATTTTTCCTAATTTCCAACAAATACCATATGGACCAAAATTTTGAATATTATCTCGATTCTCAAACTTTTCGAATTCTGAAAGTTTTCAAAACTTTAAAAATTATTCATATGAGTCATTTTCTCTGAATCTTACTCAAATACCTACTTCTGGAGATGCCTAAAACTTACAACAGATCTCACCAAATTTATTGCAAAATGTGCAAAGTCAGACAAAATTCTAAAAAAGGAACAAAAATTGTTAGTTGTGTTAGATTTTGATTAATTATTTATCCCACATCGGATGTATACCAAAGATGTGTAGGATCTTATTAGTATAAATAGGTCCCTTGCATTTGAGTTAAAATTGCACCATATTCTATTCTCTAATATCTTAGAAGAAAATCTTTAAATTAATGAAATCCTAATTTGTGGGTTATTTAACCCTAGTTGTATTTTGTTGGTGAGTTTAGTAAATTTAGCATTGCGGTTGGCAGTGCCCGAAGACGTAGATTATTTTCGCCGAACTTTGTTATCAATTTTTGTGTTCTTTTTATTTATCGTCTTTTATTTGTGTTGGCTTAATTTCGTTAGTGCTTGCCATATTTGTTGGAGGGGTAATTTTGTTCGCTGCGCTTGTTGTGATACCTCAACAAGTGGTATCAGAGCCGAAGGTTTGTCCCAGGCTCATTCGAAAAGGCGAGTACTACATTCGGGTTCAAGATGTCCAAAGAGGTCAAGGGAGCATCATCCTCTGCATTCATTCCGGCAAGGACGGTGATGCCGAACGTCAGACTCCCGGTGGAGATCTTCGATGGGACCAGTCATTTCAGCATGTGGCAAGGCGAGGTGCTGGATTGTCTATTTCAGCAAGGCGTCGAAATTGCGAAAAGAGAAGCCAACATACATTGAAGATAAGGACTAGAAAAATATCAAACGTTTAGCATGTGGAACAATTCATTCGTGATCGTCGAGAGAGCAAAAGTACACGTTCAAGAATGAGAACTCCGCTCATACTCTGTGGAAGGCTTTGGAGGATAAATTTCTGAAGAAAAGCGGCCAGAATAAGCTCCTCATGAAGAAGCGATTGTTTCGATTTGAGTACCGGCATGACACATCGATGAATGATCACGTCACTGCATTCAATCAGTTGGGTGCAAATTTGTTGAATTTGGACGCCACATTCACCGATGAGGATTTGACTCTTATGTTGTTATCATCATTTCCGGATGACTTCGAGCACTTGGAGACTACACTGCTCCATGGGAAGGATGATGTAACTCTTGCATTGGTCAGTTCTGCTCTGTATAGCTATGAGGTGAGGAAGAAGAATAAACAACAGATGAAGAATGCAACAGCAGAAGACGAAGCGTTGGTTGCAAGAGGTCGGTCGAAGAGCCAAAAGAAGAATGGACGAAGAAGATCACGTTCCAAAGCCAAGCTTGAAAAAACGAGTGTGCTTCATTCCATAAGAAGGGACACTGGAATAAAGACTGTCCTAAGTTGAAGAAGAAGGGCAAATCTTCTCAAGATGCATATGTTGTCGAGGGTGTAAGTGAAGACTCAGAATTTTCACTTGTCGTTTCACCTTCATCATCTCATCCAGGCGAATGGATTTTGGATTTATGATGAACCTATCATATGTCTCCCATAAGGGAGTGGTTCTTCAAATTTTCAAGAGACCAATGGAGGGGTTGTCTATATGGGTAATGATAATGCATGTAAGACAACTGGGATAGGTTCAATCCGTCTGAAGAATCGCGATGGTTCCACCAGAGTTTTGACGGATGTTCGGTACGTTCCGAGTATGAAGAAAAATCTCATCTCATTAGGAGCCTTGGAATCCAAAGGCTTGGTAGTGACTTTGCGAGATGGAGTTATGAAGGCTACATCCAGCTCGCTAAGTGATGAAAGGCATCAGGAGGAATAATTTGTATTATTATGAAGGTGATACAATTGTTGGGACAGTAACAGTAGCAGATTCCACCAACAAGATGTCTGAAGCAGTCATGTTGTGGCATATGAGGTTGGGACATGCTGGTGAAAAGTCCTTACAAACATTGACAAAACAAAGACTGTTGAAAGATGTCAAAGTGTGCAAACTAGACTTTTGTGAGCATTGTGTTTTGGGAAAGCAGAAGAGAGTGAAGTTTGGAACAACTATCCATAATACCAAAGGTGTCTTGGATTATATTCATACGGATATTTGGGGACCTTCTAAGACCCCATTATTAGGCGAAAGATGCTATTTTGTCACTTTCATCGATGACTCTTCCAGAATTGTTTGGGTGTACACTATGAAGACGAATGATGAAGTGCTTGGTGTCTTCATTACATGGAAGAAATAAATTGAGAATCAGACTAGAAGAAAGATCAAGATCCTACGAACAGACAATGGTGGAGAATATATAAGTTCTCCCTTTCAATAAGTTTTTAGTAAAAATGGCACCGTTAGGCACTTCACCGTTAGAACACCACAACAAAATGGGGTGGCGGAGTGCATGAATCGAGCATTGGTGGAGAAAGTTCGATGTATGTTGTCTAAT